TTAGATATCTTATAATACAAACCATCATAAGTTCATTTTGCAAACACAAAAATCACTAGATGAAGAACTTGTCAAATTTTTAAAATTAGTAGGCAAACTTAGTGATTAATTTCCAAATGTCAAGAATCTCAAAACTTGAATTGAATTATACCTTTGAACCATTAAGAAACACAATATTACATAAGATATTTTTATAAATAGCCCATCAAAGACTCATGTAAACTTATGCCCACCATAAAATCTTGAAAAAAAAAGGAAAAAGGAGGACAATATTATTCAAGCCATAGCTTTTACCTGTAGCTTTATAACAAGGATGGTGTTTTTTATCAGCTCTTCCTCCAAGCTCTCGGCTCTCTATTAGGAAGAATCAGAACCAATATTGCATAACATAGCTGCCTTCCCTCAGGAGTTCCACAATGTATGTTTTGCAGCTTCCTTTTGCCTCAAAATAATTCCAACCTTTCGTCCAAGTTTAGAAATATTTTTCTCAGCATTAATTCCCTGACCTTCATAGTGTAAATCCCATATCATCCTGTACCACCTCCTTCATTGGGAAGAACAGAAACGAACCCACTTGCACCAACAACACATCCCAATACCAATTAAGGATAACCTATCAAACAGGTTTGAAGCATTCAGTCTAGATCCACGTTTGGTTCTGGGCTCGATTTACACCACAGTCTTTCTTCTTCTTGTTCTTTTTTCTCTCCCTCACTCTCGGTATCCCTCTCCACGCTCTCTCCTTCTTCTTTTTTCTGCTCTATTTTCATGCTCTCTCCTTCCTCTTTTTTTGCTCTCTTTCGTGCTTTGTTTGCTTCTCCACTATCTGTCTCTCTCTCTCTCCGTCCCTAGTTTCTCTTTTCTCCTTTATGCTTTTTTTTTTTTTTTTCAGTTTCTCTCCTTCCTCGGTCTTCCTCTTGCATGCATGCTCCGTCTATGTTCTCTCCTTCCTCTCTTTCTTCTGATCTTTTTTGCGTTTGTTGTGTTCTGCTTCTTTTTCGTTAGTGTTTTCTCCATCTCCTTCTCTCTCTCGTTCTCCATCTTTGCTTTCTCTGGCTTCCTTTTTTTCAGTTGCTCTTCTCTCTGTTTTCAGTCCTCTCTCCCTCTCGATCATCACTGTCCAACTACTCCTCCTCGATCTCTTTCTCTCGTTTTTGTGCTCTGTCCCTCGTGCTCTCTCCTTCCTCGATTTTCTGCTTTGTCTCTTGTGCTCTTTTTTAGCTCTTTGGCTCTCTCTGTTTTTTTTTCAATTTCTCTTCCCCCTATTTTCGGTGCTCTCTCTTACTCTCCGATCCCCCTCGTCCGTTCTCCTTTTTTTTCAGTCCTTCATCCCTTTTAAAGCAGAAACAGGGGAGAGCTTGTGTGTGAGGAAAGAGCTTATGTGCTTCACCTTTCTCACTCTGCTCTGCTGTGTGCCTCTGGTGTTCTCTCACTTTTCTCTTCTACCGTGCACGTCTTCTATATTTCTTTCTCTGTCCATGAGTCTGCTTTTTGCTCTCTATAAGCTTTTCCCTATTTTTTTGCGTTTCTGGCTTTCTTTTCTTCGTGTGTTTTGTGTGTGCATGTCGCTCTTTGCTCTTTATTTTTTTTCTTTCTCTGTTTCGTGACCTCTCTACTTGTGTCTGCAAGAAGCCTCCTAAGATTATGATGAAACGCTGATGGATCAGCGTTTCATCCAGCCTAATACATATATATATTATTATTATTTTTTGCTTTTAATTTTTTTTTAAATTAGATTAACAGACACACAGACAGATATATATATATATATATATATATATATATTAAAAAGAAAAATAAGATTTAAGAAGGGAAAAATTAACTCACAATATTTTGAATGGTTGGGATAATTTGAGAAGATTTTTTAAGATTTAAACTTTTTTTATTTTGTTAAATTATTATTATTTTTTTTCAAAAATATAATCCTAAAAAATATTAAATTTTATTTTGTATTTTTATATTTTTTAATTATTTTAATGAATTAAAAGAAATAAAATCTTAATCAACAAAAAATTATTTAAAATAAAATAAAAATTAAACTCTATTAATTATATTTTTTTAAAAATATAATCCTGAAAGGATTAAATTTTATTTTTATATTTTTAATATATTATTTATTTATTTATTATTATTTTTATTAAATTTAAAATATGTCTGGATAAAATATAGTATTCACACTTTTTCTATATATTTTTATAAGTGTTATTGGAGTTTAAAATATATTCAAGGCTTTGATAAGCCTTCGAACCCTTGACAGGGTAAGATCGACTGGTAACTGATAGGCTGTACCAGTTGGTATGGAAAAGGGGGCTAACTCATCTAAATATTTAAAAAAAAATAAATTGAGAACCAAGGCTAGGGAATATTTAAAATAAAATAGTAAATATTGTTTATACTAGACAAATAATAAATACTTCCTCTATTAAAAAATATAATATATTTTTAATTAAATTTTATTTTTAATAAAGTAGTTATTTATTTTTAAATTAGCCCTATCTGTCTATATTTATTTCTATTAAATACCTTACAATAAATATAAAATTATTTATCAAGGACACTTTTAAAAAAAGATAATTATTGCACTTTAAAAAATTAAAAATATCTTATATTTTTTAATATCTAACTATTCAAAAAATACTTTATATTTTTGAATAGAGGGAGTAATTAAATGAACAATAAATGAATAATATTCAAGAAACACAAGATCTATCTAATAGTTGACATTAAAAAATTAAATATAGAATGATAAATAAATCTCATGGAAATAAGAAAATGATAAAAAAAGTAATATAAAATAAGATAATACTCTAAAGTTATAGGAATTTATTTGACATAATTTCTTTTTGTAAAATTATGTTTCTTATCTCCAAAAAAATAATAAAAAGTATAGTTGTTAAAACATAAACTAAAATTATTTATAAGAAAATAAAGTTATTAATATAAAAAACGTGGTTGTTGTTATATATAAAAAAAACCTAAACATATGAAGCCTATTGTTATTAAAAAACCAAACTAACACCTACGTTTTTTTTTTTTAAATATCAATACCTTTGATAGTGTTCTTTTGTTATTTGCATGTTTCGATCAGATTTTTCTCACAAATTAATTAATATTGTTCACAAAAATATTAATTAATATTAGTGTATTTTTATCTGAAATTAGTTTTTGTGGCGAACATATATTTATGCCATCCTTATATTTGAGAAAAAGGCTTTTTTTTTAATTTTCACTCTTACGAAGTCACTAAAATATCCTTTTTAGTTTGGGAGAGAATTTCTAAAAAACGTGTGATGTGACTTACTTACACATTAAAGACCAAAATAATATTGCAAGATTTTATGTCTGAATTGAAATTAAATTGGAAAGCAAAATTACAGAAATATCACCCTTTAGTTAAGTTGAACAAGGCATATGATAGATTCAATAAGTAACGACACAAGGGATTAACGAGTAATATTGGCCACCTAACAAGTTAATTATATTACTTAAAAAGAAACTTGACAAAAAATTATTTACTAAATATTAGATATTCAACAAGTAACATAATGGATTCACTCCTCTGATCTTATTTATAAAATAAAAAAATTAATTTTGATCATATTTATAGAGCAATTCACTATTTTCTATATTTATTTTTACCTTTTTATCCTTATTAAATATTAAGAAAATTTATTAAAAATAGCTTCTTTTATCTTTATTAGAGAGTAGAAATGAGAATTTATTAAATTTTAAGATAGAGTTAATAAAATTTAATATTTTTCTTAATTTTAATGAAATATGTTAAAAATAACTTATAAATAAGAGTAAAAAAAAGTAACAAGCAATGATATGAAATTAACAACTAATATTAGGTATCAAATAAGTCAAACATTACTTAACAAGCAACTTAAGTAATGTATTTATTACAAATTAAATGTTGAACAAGTAACATAATAGACTTAACAAATAACAACATGGAATTAATGTGTAATATTATTCGCTGAACATCTAACATGGATTAGTTTTTAAATAATATATGTTTGATGCTTAATCTAATCTGTTAATCCCTTGCCATTACCTGTTACGTGTCTTGTTCAGTTTGATTGAAGAAAATTATTTGGATAAATTTATTTTATAATTTAATTTTAATTCAGACCTAGTATGGTCTAGTAATATTTCAGATTGTTTTATGATTATTTTGGGTTTCATTTGTAAATAAGCACTATAAGTAGTCCTTTGATGGAATTCTGCCTTTTAATTTGTACTTCTTTCTACTTTTTTTGGGGTGATTTTAACATAAAATCTTGGAGAAATTTCAGTTAAGGATCATAATAGTTATGTAATTACAGGTGAGTTCAAAAAAAATTTTAAAATTTCACTTCAGTCTAGAAAAAAAGGTCAAAAAAATTTTGACTATGAAAATACCAAAATACCCTTAATTTGTTAAGCAAAATTACTAGTTATTAATTTTCTTATTTCACTTGTTAATTTATTAATATAAGTTATAAATTATATAAGTTAACATGTCAATAATTATACAAGACTTGACATCAGTTGTTTTATCATAAACAGTAATATCAATTATTAAATTGCTAACTTTATTTATTAATTTACTAATATCAGTTGTAAATTACTAATAGGTCTTATAATTTATAACTAGTATTTGTAAATTAATAAGTAAAGCTAACAAATTAATAACTAATGTTACTAATTGTTTGACAAATTGATATAATTTATAAGTAATATTGATCAATTAACAAGTGAATTAAAAAAGTTAATAAGTGATTCTATGTAATAAGTGAAAGTTTTTTCACCATTAAAATTTTTTTGACTTTTCTTCACTAAACTAAATTAAAATTTTAAAATTTTTTTAGACCCACTTGTAATTAAATAGCTATTATGGTACTTAAGTAAAATTCTCTCTAAAACTTTGATGATTATTTTTACTTTTTTCTGATTTTTTTTTTTTAAAAAGCGCTTTCCGGCCTCGCGTCTCTTCTCCTTAATCAGGCAATCGCAGCGGCGCGATTAAAGAAAAGGCGCAAAAAGTGGTCATGCCAGCCCAAACGCTACTTCTTAGTCCTGTTTTGATGTACATTGTATGCCGTAGGCCGTAGTGTCTGTGTCCGAGCTTCACTTCCTCTCTTCTTCCTCCCCGCTGTAAGCCGTTATATGTGTTGTGTGTGTGGGGTAGGACTCCTCTCTTTCATTTCTACCGCTGGACGCCTGAACAAGGAAGGTTTCGATGGATGGTTGACTTAACGTTGAAGGAAATGTATCTTCTTTAAAAGGTATTTTATTTTAATTTTATATCCTGGGTCGCGTCTCTATGATTAGTTGAAGCCATAGTCTGACATTTCCCCTTCTATTTCTAAGCTGAATCTTGTTAACAAATTAGGGGTTTTTAGTTGATTAATGAAACTGAGGATGATGTAAACCTTGAAGCTTTCTTGAGATATGGAAGTGGCTTGGATTGTGATTGGAGAAACGAAGAATCTTGTCATATTAACTTTTCATTTTCCCCTTTAAGTGGCTTGGAGCGCGAACCACCTCGTCCGAAGCTACTTTCACTTCGGTGCTGTAAGGTCCGAGGTTACGCCGTGACGAAAATGGCTGGTGCTGATAATGTCGCCCACGATATTCAATCTATCCTTTCTTCTTCTGAGAGGGACTATCTCATTCGGAACAATGACGATCAGGTGCTTATTTGGTTCTTACATTTAATCAAGCGACGCGATTGCTGCTTTTATTTTCTCGGAAAATTATCCCAGGCTGGGATTTTTTTTTTTTTTTTGTGGAGGGGGGGTGTGTGGCTGTGAAATGATTTTTTTGAGTGAAAACTCTACCATTAGATACACTATTTCATTGACAATTATAGCTCATAGGTAACAAATGATTATACTTGTATGCATGGAAAATTGAGGAGGCCTTTGTCTGTGCTGTGAACATTTTCAGGTTAAAATTGAGAGCTTGAGGGGGAAGAAGCTTGGTTTATATTTTTCAGCTTCTTGGTGCAGTCCCTGCCGACAATTCACCCCTACTTTGGTGGAGTTGTACAACGAACTCTCTCCTAAAGCTGACTTTGAGATAATCTTTGTGTCAGCTGATGAAGATGAAGATGCTTTCAGAGGTTACTTTTCCAAGATGCCATGGCTTGCCATCCCATTTTCTGATTCCAACGCACACAATCACCTCGATGAATTGTTCAAGGTGCGGGGGATCCCCCACCTTGTAATGCTCGAGGAGAATGGGAAAGTCTCCACTGAAAATGGAGTTGAGGTTGTTCGTGAGTATGGAGTTGAAGAATACCCTTTCACATCAGAAAGGATCAAAGAGTTAAAAGACCAAGAAGAGGAAGACAGGAGGAACCAGTCCTTGAGATCTCTTTTGTCGTGCAAGTCACGTGACTTCATTATATCTTCTGATGGGAAGGAAGTAAGTTTCTGTAACCATACTCTCTGCGTGAGATGGAACTGAACAAGTGTGTCCTTTCCTTCATTAAGTGTCAGATATGGCTGGTCTGATCCTCAAAAGGCTCCAAGCTTGTTGGGGCTGAGCCAGGCAATTCTTATTTACATTTCATAAATTAAAGTTTTAGGCGAAGTTTGAATTTCACCTTCCATCTACTTGCAGGTACCTTTGTCTAAACTTGAGGGGAGGACAGTGGGTTTGTATTTTTCATCTTTTTCATACAAAGCATCCGCTAAATTTACCCCACAGCTTGTGGAGGTTTATGAGAAGCTGAAAGCAAAGGGTGAGGACTTTGAGATTGTGTTGATATCCATTGGAGATAATGAGGACTCTTTCAAACAAGGACTGAAGGGTCTTCCTTGGTTGGCATTGCCATTCAAGGATAAGAGCTGCGAGAAGCTTGCTCGCTACTTTCCACTATCGACCTTGCCCGCTCTGGTTATTATTGGGCCAGATGGAAAAACCCTTCATTCCAATGTGGTGGAGGCCATTGAAGAGCACGGCGATGCTGCATACCCTTTTACTCCTGAGAAGTTTCTAGAGCTTGCTGAGGTAGAGAAGGCCAAAGAGGCAGCTCAGACCCTTGAGTCTATTCTGGTCTCTGGAGATCTAGATTTTGTCATAGGGACAGATGGAGTTAAGGTATGATTCTTGAAACAATTGAACCTTATGGTTTTTGTCCATTGCTTGTTAGATATCTTCCAATATCTTGCAAATGGTCTTCTTCATCCTCATGTCTTGGATGTCAAAATCAAAAGGCATTTAAGATGCATGCAAGATACATGTACGTGTTGGTGTTACCAGAAGATAGAAGTACCTTGAGAATGTGACATCTTTGAAGTTTTAGTTTACTTTTTAATAAAAGATTACTTATCTGTTTTGTATGACAGCTTTTTAGTGATTTGCCATTTCAAGAAAATCTTAAATACTATTTGACACTGGAGTGTCATCTGAACCGTGCTACATTTCTGCTACTTGTCCTTTTTTCAGGCCCATTCTGGGATAATGACAGTTGATTTCTATTTTTCAGATTCCAGTGTCAGATTTAATGAGGAAGACAGTCCTCCTATACTTCTCAGCTCACTGGTGCATACCGTGCCGTGCATTTCTTCCAAAGCTTATCAAAGCATACCACAAAATCAAGGCTAAGCACAAGGCACTCGAAGTCGTGTTCATATCCAGTGATAGGGACCAGGCCTCGTTCGACAACTTCTTTGCCAGAATGCCATGGCTGGCTCTTCCCTTTAATGACACAAGGAAGTCATTACTGAGTCGCCAGTTCAAGATGTATGGCATCCCCATGCTGGTTGCCATCGGACCCAGTGGCCAAACCATCACAAAAGAAGCCAGAGATCCCGTCTTGCTTTATGGCGCCGAAGCTTATCCTTTCACTGAGGAAAGGGTGAAAGAACTTGAGGCAGCATCTGAAGAGATCGCTAAGGGTTGGCCTGAGAAGGTGACGCACTGGTCTCATGAGCATGAGCTTGTGTTGAGTCGCTGCAAGATTTATAACTGTGATGGTTGTGGGGAAGAGGGTCACACATGGACATACTGTTGTGATGGATGTGACTTCGATCTCCATCCAAAATGTGTATTGAAGGCAGAGAAATGTGAAGAAGGTACCAGCGGAGAAGGGTGGGTTTGTAATGGAGAAGCCTGCTTTAAAGCCTGATGTGAATACTGTTGTTCCATTGAAGTTTGTGTGAAGGACTTTTTAATTGGGTGTATTGTAAAATGTGTATATACTATGTATGACAAAATGATGGGCTTTAATAGTATTTTTTTTTTAATGTGTTTCGTTATGCATTATGGATAGCATTATTCTTTCTGCTGAGGAGATAAAACTTAGGTATACTGAATGTCAAACTATAAAATTTAACCTTTTTGTTGAATATCAACATAATATAATGTGAAGAATCATGAGTTGTATATTCCTGTCATCAAAATGAGAGGGGGGGTTTTGCAAGAATGAATAATTAGAGAGAGAAAATGTCGAGGCCTTAGCGTGTAAAGTACAGCATCCCTAGGTTCCCAGGGGAAAAATAATTATTTTTTGAGATGAAATTCTTAATGTGGTATGATTTATTATCTATTTAAAATACACTCGTATAGTTTTGTTCCCTGGTCTCTCTTATCTGTAGACCCTCTTTATTAAATTTTAATACGGTTTTCTTAAATTCAATTCAATGCATAGAAAATTAGAAATTATCAATTTTCCTTCTTACGATCATAACGTGAGAAAAGTCTTGTGGACTGTGGCGGCCGAGCCTTGTACGTCTTCGAGAGAACAAATTGAGAATGAGCTCCACGTGCTGTTCTTACTTCTCTACCTCCACGCTCTCTGGGATGCTGAGATCATATAACTCCAAACTGAAAAGATTACTTTTCCATTCCCAAATCACAAGTGGAGGCCTTGGATTTGCTCGGTACAATATTAACATTCCGTGGGATTCAACTTTATCCTCTCGGTAATTCAACTCTCAATCTCATTTCTCGACTTTATCTTTGTTCAATTTCACAGTTCTTCATTCAACTGTAGGTTTACCTTTGTTCTTTGTAGCCCTTATCAATCTCAAACGCCCTGGGAAACCCCTTTGGTCAATTTTGCTTGCTCTAACTTTTTGGTTGAATTGAATGCCTTTAATTTGTGCTCGAGTGGCTTAGAGACGTTATTTGTTAAGAGAGAATAGAAATTTCGTGTTTTATATGAATTTGTTTCACTCTTTTTAAGCATTTGCAGTTTTGATGGGTGAGTCGGAAATGACCAAATCCAGCTTAAATGTCAACAAGAACGGGGAAGATAGATCTCCCAGGGCTCTAAATCCTGCAATTTCCACATTTCTTTTGCAGCTTCCCCACAAGTTTCAAAATACTCTCAAGGTTAGCTACCTTTTTCTGACGCTTCAAAAGATACTTGGAACCTTGATGTGAGTTTTGATTGTTATCTTTTCTGATTACAGTCACAGCTCAGTAAATTAGCCAAAAAAGATGTCAATTGGGTGAGCTCTGTCCAGAGGAAAGAGAGTGGGTCAGTTAATGGCTATGAAGCTGAATTAGATGAGCAACTGCGAGCGTGGAGACAAAATCCTTCTTGGGTTGATAATCCTTCTAAAATAAAGGTGATATATGAAGGTCACTTTCCTAAACTGAAACTTGGCTTGATAAGAAATATATACATATATATTTGAGGCGAAAAGTTGCATCAATTTCTATTTTGATTGCTTTTTTAATTTTTATTATGCCATTAGAAACCTTCAAGGTAGATGACTTGTTTGCCCATGAAATTTGATGGAGACTTAAATAATTTTCTATTAATGGTGGAAGAACTGCATCAGTAGACACTATTTTAGATATTCTTGGCCAGAATGCTGACATCTTTGTTCATGTAAACTGCAACCTGTCTCATGTTTTATATCTAAAGAATTGACCTTTTTTTTTTTTTTTGGGGTGATAACTATGTATCTATGTTCATATGGAGGTATAGAATGTATGTAGCACGATGTTCTTTTTGGCAGGTGACTGTACCAAGAGGTTCTCTTTGCAACCTGAATGTAGAAGTCAATGTTGGCCTGCCGCCTGATGCAGTATACAATATAGTGATTGATCCTGACAATAGAAGAGTTTTCAAAAATATTAAGGTAGGTAACTAATAATTAATTATATTGTTCATTGTTTCATCACAACCTTTTTAGGAGGTGCTTTCATGTCCTTTGAAGACTGAATTGGTAGAAACACTCCGTCTTCTAATTGAGTTCCACAATTCAGTTTGACAACGTATTTCTTGGTCAGGAAGTAATATCCAGAAAAGTATTGGTTGATGAGGGCCAAAGGCAAGTGGTTGAACTCGACCAAGCAGCGATATGGAGATTTCTTTGGTGGTCAGGAACTATATCTGTTCATGTTTTGGTAGATCAAAATAGAGAAGACCACTCTGTAAGGGCTTGTTATCTCGTTGGATAATAATTACATCCATAGTTGTTGATTAATTAAATAAGGCATACAAATATCTTTTCATGATTTTCCTTTAAACTGAAAATCATCTTCTCAGGCATTAATGTTAATTTGGTTCAATTCAAACTTGCCCTCATTTTTCTTGGTAGAAATTGGTACCAAATCTTCAGGGATTTTGTGATAGCCTTTTGGTTTCTAGTAAACTGATCTTTGGAATGGAAGAGAATATATTTTTTTAATTTACTTAGATATATGATATATTTAATCATCCCAAGTTTGAGAACGCATGTCTAGCATTAGATTTGTAAAAGGACACATCCATAAGCACGCATTGATTACAGTGATATGTTGTGAGTAAAGTTACTCGCAATTCTGCTCTCCGTGGAATCAGAGAACTGTGTTTTGACTGATTTATGTATTTGTATGCCAGATGAAGTTCAAGCAAGTTAAGACTGGATTCATGAAAAAATTTGAGGGTTGCTGGAGGGTAGAACCTCTATTTGTTGATGAAAATATTTGTTATCCTTTTAAACCAAAGACAAAGGAAGAATACAATGTATGTACCAGAGGCAAGGGAAGAATAGGGTCTAGAGTGAGCCTGCAACAAATACTTGAGCCAACCATTGTCCCACCCCCTCCCATATCCTGGTATTTGAGGGGAATTACCACCCGGACGACTGAGATGCTTATAAACGACCTACGTGCCGAAGCTGCCAGAATCAGAGAGGGATTTGAAGCTGGAATGTCTAAGGGAGAGCTTGGGGAAGCATCCAATGAAAACCAAGATGACTCAAGTGACATAAAAGAACGATGGCTTTTGCGTCGAAAAACTGCAAAGAAGAATCGGAGAAGACTTCATCCTACCAGCTGATTACTTGTTTAAAATGCCAAGTATTGTTCTCTGAAAGCAGCAATGAGTTTGTGAGAGTGTTGCCAAGTATTGTAAAGTAAAAGGTCTAAATTGCTGCATAGTATTTCATGCCATATAATTGGCCACTGATATCTGATGTCACTGTCAAGATTTAGTGATGAGCCGTTTATATTAGGAGATATGCTACTTTGTGCATCTTATTACATGCTGTTAACCTTTATAACGCTGATCAATTTATGAAAAATTGGTCATTAATTTCATCTCATTTTCTGTTGTGGGATTTGGATCTTATGCATTTAGAAAACAGATGCTGTAACACACCAAATTTTTTTTTTTTAAATAATTTAACTCAACCATAGTTGGGTTACAGCCACCCAACACATTTTTATATCAATAATTTCGATATAAAATATTTTATAATTGGCTTCAACTCACACACTATAACATTTCAGATAAATTTTTACCTCCCACATGCCATTAGGCTAAATCACATTTGTCCATCCTTATACTCCCAACAAGTAAACTAAATCACATTTGTCCATCCTTATACTCCCAACAAGTAAAATAAGTAATTTAGTCAATTTTCAACACAAGCCAGTTATTTGGCCTTATAATCATGCCATTTTAACCAATCCAAAGTAAACCAAATATTAAAATTACAGTCATCCAAATTGTACTAAAAATAGAAATAGTTTGAAAGGCATGATTACATTTATATATTCATATAATTGACAATAAACATAAAAAAGTCTTAATATTGGCAATATAACACATTATAAATCATAAATTAAATACCCAAAAGAGACAGTGGATCTATACCACTAAGCCTCTGGGACTCCTCCACGTGTCACTCTTGGCTCTTCTCCTGAAAATTGTTAACCACATAATGAGACTCAAAAGTCCCAGTAACCAAAGCCAATTTATGATAGTGTATACAAACAGTTAAGTGTGTGCTTACTAAGTGAGAATTAAAAATAATATAATTCTAACAAATATAAGAAATATTATAATAAACACAAACAACCATCCTTATATCCCTCCATTAACCTCGAGCCGTAGCCCTCACTCGGTACTAAATTACCCGGCCAAAGGTAGATTAGCCCGAGCCCTTACAAACCACCTATTGAGCTCCAATAGGGGCGTACCACGTGGCACATAAATACAACAACAATAGCAAGTCTCCCAACACCTCCCACAATAATTAAACAAATTCATAATAATATTGCACAATTATACAATATTACAAAATTCATAATTTTCTCAATAATCACCCAATTAACAAGAAGTAACACTAATCACAAATTAAAAGCATGGTTACCTTGTGGCTTTTTCAATAAATTATTCCTTAAAATTTCTCTCTCACCACAATCTTCACCAGTAATACAATCTACAAATAACATATTATTATAAATATTAGTTTCAATTTTTGAAACTAATAAAATAATTCTAATAATAGAATTAAAAATATAACATAATTCTTAATCTCAATCTTAATACAAATCTATAGTTAATACTATTAAGTATAATTTTTAACTCCTCTTTTAATTATCAATAAACATTGATAATCTAAAAATCAAATTTTAAACTAATTTCTATTATCAAAATTTTCTTTTTATTTTATAAATTCGTACCTAAAATACCCAAAAATTAAAAATTAAGTCTCTAGCTTAGAATCATAATCTTATAACCATAATAATTCATTTCTCATCCCAAATAATCATCTAAACCTCAATAAATCAACATATATTTTCAGATCTAGTTTAGAATTTGATCCATAAGCCATAAATTCAAAGATCATTAACAAATTTATACTCTATAACATTTATTATACTACTGACAACCTCAAAAACCATATTTATTCAACATAAATTCATCCCTCTTTCAGATCTTAAATTTTCTACCACTACAAACTCAGAAACTAAAGAAGAAGGATGACTAAGAAAAATTTTTAGAACACTTACTTAGTCTTG